GATTAAAATAGAAAAAAAAAATAATGTATAAATAAATATATAGATAAATAGATAATCAAAAATAAAAAAATAAAAAACAATATTTAAAGATACTTATTATAATATACAATACATGAGTGCTGCAAAGAAAAAATATGTAATTATTATTTAATTATTATTAGATAAGGAATTTAGGCTTTTCCATTTGCTAGCACCTATATATATTGCTAGCAAACATGTGAATCTTCTATTTTCTATCTTATAAGTAACTTCTACATAATGATTAATAATATAAAATTTAAAACAAAGGAGACTTTATCCATTAAAAAATTTTTAATTAGTAGAATTGGTTTAATTATAACTTTACCTCCTACTTAATTATGTGATGGAATGTGATTTTTGATGCAATTCAAAGGCACTAACCTGAAAAGTAAAGTAATTAAGTATCATAGTCGAAAATAAAAATAAATTAATAAAACTAAAATAGGTAAAGCACAAACAAGACAGGTAATAACACAATATTGAAATGAGCAGATCCCAGATAAAGTGGTGTTAAAGCGTGTGAAAATAAAAATAAATGACATGGAAAAAATAGTTAGAAGATCATTAAAATAATAATACTTCTATTAATTGCCAAAAAGACTTCAAAGATAACAAATTAGTCATCTATCAAACAGTAGATTAGATGTGATTTTCTTAAATATGAAAAGATGCAGCTAAAAAGTTTATAAATTTGCATTGTTAATTATTAAAAAACTATTCAAAATACTTAAATAAATCTTATAAACCATCCATAAAGTGTTTTCTTAAATTGATTTCATATACATATCTATTAATCATACATAAAAATAAAAATGCCACCTTCTTCCAAAAGAAAAAGAAAAGCCAGAAATCAGAATAGAAATGGTGAAGGTTGATATTGTAATCCCAAAAAAGTTCTTCACACCTCAGTAATTTTAACTGATCAAAAAAATCTGGAAAATGAATTTGGTAAACTATATAATAGTAACGGAGAAGGTAAGTTGGATATTAGCAATAGAAAAGAAAGTAAAGATGATGGTTGGAATAAATATGATGAATTAAATATTAGTGATTTAGAGTGGGGGGATGAGAAAAATAGTGGATGGGACAATGCTAAAAATATTGAAACTGAATTTAAAGAACTCAACTTAATATGGAAAAATAATAGCCAATTAGAAAAAATAAAATAAGGTTGATATATGAAAGGCAGGACACCAAAGTTAACTTATTATGATAAGTATAGGCCAAATGGAATCTTTACTAAAGTGGCAGTTAGTACCAAAAAAATTATCAGTTTTTTTAATAACATCAAGACACAAGTTACAAATCTATAGCCTAATGAGTTAGATAAGGCCTCCAGTGATTCAGAAAGTGAAACTAACTCATATGTCTATAAAATAAATAAAAGGGCAAAAGATTTAAAAAAACAATTAGAACAAAATCATAGTACATTAACAGTTAAAAAGTATAATTTTTAATATTAAGGTGACCACTTAGGCCCTGGGCACTTTATTAGTACAAGCGGTTAGACTATATGTCCGAAGACTTGACTACATGTTACATCAGTATTACAAGAGTACAACTAGCTACATGTACAACTTTTGGTTATCTAAT